ACTTTGCCAAGAAATATGGAAATAACATACTTGTCAGAAGACTAACTAGAAAATACTTTTTTTTTCTTTTAACATATCAAATTAAACACTTAATTTCTAAGTAACAAAACATGACATTATTCTATGGTTGCTTTTTTTTTTTAAGTCAAACATCAATCTCCTTTAGAACTAGAAATAAATATATTTGTTAACTATCCAAAAATAGAAAGTACATACAATGCAAGATGATCTTAAATATCATCATTCAAACATTATAGCATAAACACTTCTGAAACCATTTAATAGGTTTTTCTCCAACCACTTACATGTAAGCAAATCAAATCTAGAAAAATACACATTTTAATACATCTTAAATTTCTTGCATTATTAACAAACTTTAAAAAATATTCCCTAGAGTACACATATTTTTGAACAATAAACTAACTATAACTTTCCTATTAATCGTTCTGATTAATTACTCCCAAAAAATTCACTAACAGATTATCTAAATAAACTTAAAACTGACACAGATACTCTGAAATAAACAAGAGTAGGGCCGGCCTGTGGCTCACTCGGGAGAGTGCGGTGCTGATAACACCAAGGCCGCGGGTTCAGATCCCACATAGGGATGGCCGGTTCGCTCACTGGCTGAGCGTGGTGCTGACAACACCAAGTCAAGGGTTAAGATCCCCTTATCGGTCATCCCTATTAAAAAAAAAACAAAAAAAAACACAAGAGCAGCTATGCATTCCCGAGGCCTCTAACATTACATTAAAGGAATACTATAATTAATATTCTAATTATTTTAACTAAACTCTTTATCTTAATACAAACAAATTCAACCCAAAAGGTTTTGGTGATAGACCAGTTTCTGTCAGAAAGGAAAAAATGTTTTATTATATCTATGCAGGGTAAATTTATCTTAGAGAGGGAGTAGTAAGTATTGTTTGAACATGTCCCCCAAAATTCATATGTTAGAAACTGAATCCTCAATACAACGGTATTGAGAGGTGGGACCTTTAAGAGGTGATTAGGTCAAGAGGCCTCTCATGAATGTATTAATGTCATTGCCAAGGAGTGTGTTTATTATAGGACAGCAGGTTTGTTACAAAAGCCAGTTCAGCCCCCTCCTACACTCATGCTCATTCACTTATTCACTCCATCTACTCCCACGGAATGAAGCAACACAAAGGCCCTCACCAGATTTGACCTCAAAATCTTGGACTTCCCAGCCTCCAGACCTGTGAGCCAAATAAACTTCAGTTTACAAATTACCCTCTCTGTGGTATTGTTATAGAAACACAAAATGGACTAAGACAAAGGCACATACAAATAAATCGTTGCTGAAAAAGTAAGCCTGGGGGGCCAGCCCGGTGGCGCACTGCTACAGTGCGCCGCTTGGGAGCGCGGTGGTGCTCCCGCTGAGGGTTCGGATCCCACATACAGACCGGTTCCCGCTCACTGGCTGAGCGAGGTGTGGGCGCAACACCGAGGGTTGGGATCCCGTTGCTGGTCCCAGTCCAGTACGGGCACGACACTGAGGGTTGAGATCCGTTGCCGGACATGAAAAAAGACAAAAAGGAAAAAAAAAAAAAAAAGTAAGCCTGGGAATTAGTCAAGCCCATAATCTATCCTGGGGTAATAATGAACTAACCCTATCTTGGTAAACAAAAGCTAATTTGTTTCTAAGACTGTCAAAGAATAAGAATTCTGAAACCAACATGGCTCAGCACTCCACAGAATAACAGATATTGTTTCATTTAGCCTAGCTTGACTACAGCAGAAAACCAAATAATTCAATACTTCCTCTACCAGAAGTCCAGCTCATTTATTCTTTTCAGCAACTAATTCAAATACAGGATTTGAGGACATACAAGTATGATGTCACACTTTCCATATGCACTTGTCACTGATATATTCAGACTCACAAAGAAGCAATGGAGAATTACAAAAGACAATGGAATACCACTTAGCTTTAAAAAGTAACAAACTATATATATACACAAACACATAACTATAACAGGCATAAATCTGAAAATTATGCTGAATAGAAGGAACCACTTTTTTAAAAAAGTACAAACTGAACAATTCCATTTATATAAAATCCTAGAAATGTAAACTAAAGTTACAAAAAAGCACATGAGCAGACGTCAGCAGTATCTAGAAATGAGGAGGAGCAGTAAGGAGGGGTTTCAAGGGGAAGGATGAAACTTTTGGAGGTGATAGGTATGTTCAGTATCTTGACTGTACTGATAGCTTCAAATATATACACATCAAAATTTAATCAAGCTGTCCATTTTAAATACAAGCAGTTTTGTCATGTGTCAATTATACCTCAGTAAAGCTGTCTTTAAAAAAAGAAAAGAAAGAACTTATAGGTTGCAAAAGCACACACCCCAGAACACTTTATTGTCTTAAGTAACTTTAATGTTAAGGTTAATGAGCTTTGCCCTCAACTAGGTAGGCAGAAATTCCCAGAGTCTGAAATCCTGGTGAAAATAATTGAGTTTATATTTTCTCCATTTCAAGAAATTCATAGTAGTTTAACAATATACAAGATTACCCAGTGTTGGGCCGGCCCGGTGGCGCACTGCTACAGTGCGCCGCTTGGGAGTGCAGCGGTGCTCCCGCCAAGGGTTCGGATCCCACATACAGACCGGCCGCTCACTGGCTGAGCGAGGTGCGGGCGCGACACTGAGGGTTGCGATCCGTTGCCGGTCACGAAAAAAGACAAAAAGGAAAAAAAAAAAAAAAGATTACCCAGTGTTTTATGAAGCTACCATTCTTCCCAAACAAAATGAAACTTCACTTCCTCATCTTTAAAATGTTATTGCAGGGCCGGCCCAGTGGCGCACTGGATAGTGCGCCGCTTAGGAGGCGCGGCAGCACTGCCGCCCGAGGGTTCGGATCCCACATACAGACCGGCTCCCGCTCACTGGCTGAGCGAGGCGTGGGAGCAACACCGAGGTTTGCAATCCCGTTGCCGGTCCCTGGTCCGGTACGGGGGCAACACTGAGGGTTGCGATCCGTTGCCGGACATGGAACAAAAAGACAAAAAATAAAATAAAATAAAATAAAATGTTATTGCAATCAAAGCCAAAGAAAAAGACATGCTCACCTTCACAATGAATATTTGAAAATAGTTTTTTAAAATTCAAACCCATCTGAAAAGTTCATTTCAAACTGAAATCTAACACCAAGCACAATGATTGGAAATGTACGTGAACTCAGGCATTCGTAAATTTAGAGTCCTCAATCAGTATTTTCTCATGTTATTATTATCCACATAAAAAAGATTACTTTTATTTCTCCACTTCCTACCCAAAGGAATAAACACATTTGCTACAATTATTATCAATGCAAGCAATTTCATCAACCCAGAGTCAAATTAGCAGTAGTCACTCCAAAATTCTAAAAAATTCCTTTTAAGTCAAATCTTTTTAAATGCATTGGAATGACAAGTTTGAAAGAATTCAAGTTTTTTGAAGTAAAATATTTAAAGATTAAAAAAATTTTTTTAATTAAGGCAGGAGAATAACAATCGTTTAAATCATATCAGAAATAATCACTATTTTGCCAATGATGTTTCTCAAGAAGCAATTTGCAACTACATAATGAAAGTTTAATTCATATTTTATTTATGAGTCAAATGAACTGGACTTACTAAAAAAAATTATTTGCCATCAAAATAAATAAGCATAAAAAGATTACAGATAAAAGAACTTAATGACTATGTTAAATCAATTTTCACGATAAAAATTCATGACAAATAAAATCTTAATATTAAATTTAATCTTTCTCAATTGTAGCAATAAACAGTAAAATTCAAAATTTCAACTATAAAGTACATAACGGATGCAGCATTTGTTGCGTACAGTCCTCTTTTCAGGGTAACAACTGCATACAAATTGTACACTTATGGTTACGATGTATGTACGTACTTGGTATATGGTACCATAGCTTACAAATATCACTTAAACCAGATTTTAGTCAGATCATAAAAAATGACATAGAGACTAAAATCCATGGGCTTATGCAATAGTTTACGCGAGATAAGTAAATGTGCTACAATTGTGCTACAATTGACTAGGTTAAGAATGCTTGGAAACGATACAAGAATTCTACTTTTAAATAATGGCAAAATTTTATTAAGCATCATGGAACTACAAACTGAGTTTAAGACTACTACACGCTACCATTTCCCTGTTTACATGTCCTCCCTCTCCAAAAGCTCCTTGATTTCTCCTCCCACTATTTTCCCGCCATCTTGGCCGACAGGAGCAGCCATTAACTTAATGACAGTGCCAATAATTTTTCACACAAACAAGGAATCTTCCCCAGTGCCTGTCTGACATTAAGGGAACAAACCTGGGGGGGGAGACACCCCCACACATATTCATGAAATTGCATTCGTAGCGTTATTTCTGTGGCTGGTAGGCAGACATCTTAACTTCAGGTCAAACATACACCTATCAGTACACAGGTCAAATACTCAATGCAAACTTCTTCACCGCCGTAAATATCTGAAACTTACCCCTTCGGAGACCAGGGATATAATAAAGACTAAAACTTGTGGTTAAATTAGACATCACGAGCTGACTGTCAAAAGAAGAAAAAGTAAAGAAAGAAAAAAAAAGTAGAAGGTAAGTCGTAAATTTTGAAAATTCTGTATACAGTCATGACCTGCGAAGATAAAATTCAGGGATCACTGGCCTAACCAAAAAGTCCTGAAATAACAAAGCAATGTTGTCGACCCTGTTGAGCCCTGCTCCAACGTGCTGCGGTCTCCTTTCCTCAAACTACAAGGGAGGATTTGGCAAGGCGGAGTAGAAGGTATCCAGGGTAAAGGAAGAGCAAACGCAAAATATAGTTTTCAGGATGCCCCTCGGCCATCGTTGGCGGCCACAGAGAATGATGGCCCAGCAGTGGACGCGGGGACTGGGGATAGGTGATAGGTGGTCAGGCAGAAAAGACTGTGTCCCATCTTCGGTCATACCAAACTGGCGCCCAGTTTGTCATACCTTGCCGAGCAGAGTCTTCGTCCTGGCGCCATCTTCGTGAAGGCTCAGGAATCCGAAGAGTCGGCTGTTGGGAGAGACATATGCGGCTTGTTAACGTCCGGGAAAAGCCACTGGCCCGTCCCTTCCCTAGCCCCAGTCCTGGATTGCAACGAGGGCTCGATGAGCGCCAAACCGAGGTGCCCCCCCAGTTGCCACCGCGAGCAAGCTGCGCTTGTACCTTCCGGGAGAGTGGCGCCAGCCTGTCCGTAGCCAACCGGGCGGGTGTTGACGGACCATACCTGTCCAATCCACCAAGCGCCTCCCTCTCCTCGGCTGTCAGGCTGAGGGACCCCTCCTCGCTCTCGCCGCTTGCTTTTGCCGCCGCCATTTTCTTCTCTTCATCACACAAGGCAGTAACGGTGGTAGCGAGCGACACTCCGCAGGATTTCATGGAAATGCAACAAATTTGTAAATGTCACGTCGACACCCACCCACCTCCAGTCCAGAGGGCACCCTTGAGCACCGCTTCAAACAGAGACACTAACTTTATCACCGTTTCTGGTGCAGCGGCGACGAAAAACCCCAAGGCAAAGCCGAAAGCAGCCGGTGTAAGAGCTGCGAAACTCAGCCACCGGGTCACATCGCTGGGCAGGCGGAGACTGCAGGGAAGGCGGAAGCTCGTGGTGCTGGGGAGCACGGGAAAATTTCTTGGAATCACATACTTCGCCGACACTAGCACAAACTTGTAATTGTGTCACAGGACGAACCCCACGTAGCCGCCGTGACTTCCCCACCACCACCAGCGGGCGTTGCCAATTGACGCGACCGGTTTGTCTCACATGACCTTTGTTGACTTACGTCACTGGTGGATCCACTAATCTAGCTATCTGCCAGAGTGCCGCCCATCGAAACAACCATAGACCAAGGAACGTGATCTACGCTAACTGTGGCCTGTGGTTGGTTGATGGACACTTCTGTTGAGCAAAGAGTTATCATCCGGATGGAGCAACTTTAAGGCTGTGAACTTAGCCATAGACGCCAGGCTTTAAGGAATGAAGAGTTTCCCACAAAATCTAGTTCTGTGGCCAAATTGTTTTCGTGCAAAGTTCTGTTGACACTTTGGTGCCAAATTTTGGTGCTACCTGAGTTTATCACCTCAGATAATATCTAGGAATTAAACAATGACAAAAATTGTTACACCAGAATTCCAAAATGTTGGTTTCTACTTTGATCTCACAATGAGGCTTCAATGGCAGAATAGGAACTGCTTGTGGACGGGCACTGAGAAAAGACTGGCCGGTCAGCTGACTTGGGAGGAGTTCCGATCTCCATACCAACCAGCCACCAAAAAAAAAAGAAAGAGAGGAGACTAATTAAGATCTCCATCACAGTTTGAAGATGCAGTAACTCTTAAGAGAAGAAACGTAACATCACTGTCTTCTTCTGACCTCAGTTTTTTTATAACTAAAAATTATAGCGTAAATAATACATAAAATAGTTTATATATTAAATATAAATACAAATAACATTTAATAAAAATAATTGTATATGTATATAAAAGGCTCTGTCAATTAGCCTTCTCAAAAAGTACATTTCATGACAATATTCCACATAACAGATCTTTTACAAATTATCCCTTCTATTATTAGGATAGAAAACTATTAATTATTAATGGACATCTGAAAATTTTTTCCCTTCATAAATAGAGTTGTGTGTCCTGCTAAAATAGACATGACACATTTAAATCTGGATGTTTAAACAGGAAGACAATTTAGACACAGCTGACAAATTCTAACACTATTTAGTTAAAAATTATGGAAATCCCAACTAATTTATTTTCACATCAACAAGTATTTTCATTCTTCTTTTGAAACTAGTAACTAACTATAGTTTTATAAATTATAGTACATTATTTTCTCTGAAACATATGTCCCATTCTTTCCTTATTACATTTTAGTTGAATGACTACAGATGTCTGAATATTTTCTATAGCTGTGTAACCTAAGTACATGAATTGTAATTAATGTTGACCTTGAAGACTGAAGAGTTTCTGACACATAAACGCACATTCCCAGGAGAACAGACACAAATACTCTATAAGGCGGCCTTTTCGAAGAATAAGGCACACCTGCCTTACTACAGCACCTCTGTCAACCAATCATTAAAAGGTAATAGAGCACTAGAATTGCATAGAGAAGGAGGAAGAGGTGGTGTTAGAAGGACTTGAATTTGAATTCTGGCTCTTCACAGGCTGTACCTTGGAAAAGTTACCAACATCGAACCTTAAACTACAGGTCTAGTGTCATTACAAAGCAACACTCATCTTCATGCATATTTCATATACATTTGACAGATTATAAATCAGACAGGATACAATGAGGCCTTTGAATCCTGTCTGGATTGTAATCTAAAATATAACTAGGCAGGATACAAAAAAATTATATGTCCTTCTAAGCCTTTAATATTTGTATCCTATCTATAATCTGTCAAATGTATGAAGCATAGAACGTTTAGATTCTTCACTGAAGACACAAAGTTAATAATTTTAAACTAATTTTTTATGAAAATTTAATCTAAAAACAGAGAAGACAGAATGGTAGAGCAGAAGAAGAAATATCAAACATGAAACAATTATTGGAAAATAAATGTACTATATGTTTTAATAACTGAAAACCTAACCTGATTTTTTAACCTTACTTTTAATGTTAGATTGTAACCTACACATCTTAAAAGGTCAGCTAAAAAAAGTAATGATTTATTAGATTTACAAACAAACCTATATGTTATCATTTCTGTTAGCATCAAAAATAATTTCAAGAATTTTTACTAGCGGGCCAGCCCGGTGGCGCACTGCTATAGTGCGCCGCTTGGGAAGCGTGGTGGCGCTCCCGCCGAGGGTTCAGATCCCACATACAGACCGGTTCGCGCTCACTGGCTGGGCGAGGCGCGGGAGCAACGCTGAGGGTTGCGATCCCGTTGCCGGTCCTGGTCCCGTACGGGGGCGACACTGAGGGTTGCGATCCGTTGCCGGACATGGAAAAAAAAAAAAAAAAAAAAAAAAAAAGGAATTTTTACTAGCAAGCCTAATTTTTACCCGTTCTTCTCATTATTACTGCTGTCATAAAGATTATGTAAATTGGTATATGTAAGCACGGATGAGAGAACTAAATACCGATTTAGTGTTGAGAAGAGACAGAGAAGCAAGTGTAAACAAACTTTCAGTTATAATCCCAACACCAACCATCCACCAAAAAAAACCTTTCAAGTTATAAAAATTTCAGTTGTAGGGCTGGAAGCTTAGCTCTGTTGGTTAGAGTGCAGCCTTGTAACACCAAGGTCAAGAGTTCGGTTCTCCCGTACAGGGAAGCTGAAAAAAAATTTTTTTTTCAATTGTAAAAAACAAAAGAAACTACAGAGCACTGTACTCTAGTTAATAAAGTTATTTCCCATGGAATTAGAGGTAAATAGTTTTGAAACCACCATGCATGTATATTGAAATTGAACAATTAAGCAAGTACTATAGATGGTGAATTGTTGGAGCTAGATTTCTCACTACTGGAGGGAGAGTTTCCAGGTAAGAAAAGGGAGGAAGATCTCCATGGTAATGGATTAAGGTTGGAGACATCAGTATGAACTCATGTTTACCTGAGTATAAACCTTCTTAATATAGATAGCTTATATATAAAAACAGTTATAGATTTGTGTGTATACACAACTTAATTTTCATGTATGAATTTCCTTGCTCTATATCAGCTGAGAAGAACTAGAGGCAACAAAACCCTAGCAGAAACAAATACACCAACTGCCAGGATTTAGATTTCTAATACCATTCTTCAGTGAAAAGAAATAGTGCTCCTTGGCAATATGTTTGATTCCAAGACTGGAGCAGAAAATATATAAGATGACCTTTGAGCATCTAGTAATAGCAGAAAGAAAGGAAGTACCGCAAAAAGTAAATATATCAAAGGGACACAGGAGTCAACTGAAAGTGCTGCCAATACCCAAAGCTGGAACAATTTAAGCAATAAAAAAATGCATGATTCCATAGTAATATAAATAAATAAAAGATTGAATAAATAAATAAAAATCGACAAATATTCGATGCAAATTCTAAATAATTTTTGTAAATAGTCTTTCCTCAAGGAGATAGAACATTCCTTAAATGTCACCTGCAAGGTGTGATCTCCTTCCCAAGCTTATAGTGTGGAAAGAAGGGGGAAAGAATTTATACTGGGGAAAATCTGGCAAACATGAGCTCAGACAGGTGATAAATGTTAACAATAACAATGTTTAGTCATCTTGAGAACATGTATCCTTGATAGGATGTTATGAAGATGGCACTTGACAATATAGTCTTCTTCCCCAAAACCCATAATTCTACTCTAACCCTAAGAAAAACATCAGATAAATTCCAGTTAAGGGATATCTTACAAATTACCAGTACTCCTCAAAACTGTTAACATCATCAAACACAAAGTTTGAGAAACTCTCAAAGCCCAGAGAACTGTAAGGTTACCTCATGATCAAATATAATGAAATATAACAGAAGGGATTCTGGGACAGAAAAAAAGAATATTAGGGAAAAATAAGAATAATGAAATCATACTAAGACAAATATAAATAATAATTAGTGATAACGATTTATTAATTACAGAAAGTCTTGCATATTAACGTGTGCTATTAATGATAGAATGGACTGAGGTGAGATTGAAAAGGAACTTTGCACTATCTTTGCAATTTGTCTGTAAATTTAAAACTATTCTAAAAGAGAAAGTTTTTTAAAACATAAATACATTTGTGGAAATTACCAGGATATGGATTACAGAGAAACTGGTAAAAGAAAGAAAGAAAAGATCATTCAATATCCATTAACAGCTGTTGTAGAAGAAGAAAGTAAAATTAGAGAGAGGCTATATTTGAAGAGATAATGGCTCCAAATTTGGCAGCATCAATAAGAGACATTTTCCTCAGATCGAGAAAGGAAAACAAATTTTACTATTAGCCACATTATACAGAAATTGCAGCATGATGAAGATAAATGGAAGAGCTCAAACATAATTAAAAGAAAAGGCAATGTATCTGTAAAGGAAGAAATAATATTATATGGACAACAGATTTCTCAGTATCACTCCTTTAATTGTAGAAGACAGCCAAATATCTTTAAACAGTTGAGAGAAGAATCAGGGACTATAAGGGGGTTGGTGGGGGGGAGTCATTTTCAACAACTGAGAAATTTTAACACTAATGAGAATTCATTGAGAAATATAGTAAAATAATAAAGGAGGAAGTTAAACCCAGAAACAGAATTTGAGATACAAAGAGAAAGGTAGAAATAGACAGTTAAATATGTATGTGTACAGATCTAAATAAATTTTGCTGCATAAAACACATGCTAACTAAAAAATTAAAAGAAAAAAAACACACACATACTAGTAAAATTAACTGAAAATA